ACCTACATATTATTTCTGGACCAATATTTTTTGGGAGAAATATTCAGTTACACTAGGTTAGTAAAATGCTTAAAATAATGTTGTAGATTTCATTAAATAATAAACATAACTAAATTAACTGTTTGTGTGATAAAAGTAAGTTATGTTATAAATTCAAAACCGCGGCGTTTAAAGTCAGGCAGTTTTTGTTGAAGCATTTCTAAGGTGACACTCTATCTAAATGTTATTAGTCTATTACATTATTACTTGTTTGCCATTCCAAGTTGCATAAAAAATACCTACACGGTACAGTGGTAAACATATTTTTTTATATTATAAAAATTTTATATAAACATACAGCTTGTGGCACATCTGACCCGTGTTCTATGAAGTTCATAGTGCTCTGTATTTCAATATACTTGGATGGGGGGGGGAAGGATTATTAGTAATGGGGTCGTAAAAGGGTCATAAAGAGATCATAATTATTATTATTATCGTCATTGTCAATTATCATATATAATAAAAGTGTTAAGTAAATCTTTTTTTTACCAGAGCGAGACTTTGCACACAAGTCGTTTGCTTGGGCACTTCTGTCCTATTCGTGTTTCAACCGTGAAGCAGTTGTGTTTGCATGGCTGTGTTTCAGTTTAAAGGGTGGGATATGGCGTGAATTTACAGGGTACAGAGCAATAACATCTGAGTCCTCGAGAGTAGCAACACATGGGGAGTATCATGGGCGAAACAGTATACTCTGTTATGTCCATGGTACTGCTCATGTCTATAGGCGACGGTTACTACTTTCCATCAGGTGGGCAGTCAGCTTGTTTGCCATTCTAAGTTGTATATAAAAAAAATCTGTCTGCTAAGCGTGACAATTAGTGATAAAACCTCTCTAAGAGGAATAATGGTAACTCTTTCAAACACAAAACTAATGAACGGAATTAAATTACTTTTAGTACACAAGTAGGTTAGATCCTAAATTACTACACAGGATCTTATCTTATTTTTCGCATATGGGGTCAGCTAAGCCGATGCACGTCGATCCATACGGATCTTTTGTGCTTCCCCCTGCCTTATGCCATCATTTCATAGATCCTATGTGTTACCCTAACAATATCCCGCGGTTTAAGATATCTGTAGTCCCCTGGCTCTGGATAAGCCGTTCCCAGTAGGCTCATGCGCATGCTCGCTAACGAATCGCAGTTGCACATCAAGTGTTCCATGGATTCCGATTTCTCCCAGCACAGTCTGCACAGTGTGTCCGAAGATAGACCCATCTTGTGTAGTATATGCCTTATTAGCATATGTCCAGTTAGGGCACCCATAATGAGTCTTGCCTGTTGTCTGCCACCGCTGTAGATGAGTTTATCCCATCCCTCAATATTGTCATTTAAGAACTTTTTAGAATGTCTAAGTCCCTTCAAAGTCCTCCGTTTCTTTTGCTGTTTTTTCCTCGTATACTCCTCAAGGGCAGAGTTAACAACACTTGATGCAAGTGCAACGCATGGTTCAGGACCTACCATCTTTGATTCTGATCCCATTCTCGCCAACTCACCGGCCTTTTCATTACCCTTAATCCTTTTATGTCCAGGGACCGATACCAAACTAACACTACATAGGATACTTAATGTACTAAATCACGCGGACAAGTCCGCGGAATACAACCAGTGTTAACACGAGCCCTTTCGACGTTGTCTTTCGGGATACATGGACCCAAAAAAAAAAAAATACACCAAAGAGGCGCTAAATATTACGGTCATAAATAATACTGCTCTAATTCATATTACATAATAGGGTCTCATCCAATAACCGACGTGGTAGGGTTGCCACCCGCGCTTCGTAATAAATTATTGTGCCTACGTTATTTCGTATAATTGAATCATATATAAATAGATATATAATTTATTTGCATTACTTACATTACAGCACACAAATAATAACAGACAAATATAGACATACACGGTAAAAAGAGATTAAAGAATGCATATATACAAAAAAAAAAAAGCAAAATACACAAAAGAAGTAATTTTTTTTCTTTCCTGCGTGTTGGCACACGCACACAGTAACACAAGATGGACACAAATCAAATTATTGTTTTGCCCTCAAAAGAGCAAAACACTGATATTCTGTTGTGGCCAAAAGCCCCGAAATACACTTTATGAGAAAACTTTATAAACACAACCTAACCTCAAATTTCTTAGCCACAGGAATTGTTAATAAAGAGGTTTAACAGGTCCGTTGTTAGCTATATACACCCTATCAGGTCGACCTCCACGCGGTTCCCCCTGGAAAACAGAGTGGTTAATTTTTGTTCAACAATTTTTGGTATGTGATTGGTTGGTTGGTATATGTCACTTATTATCCCCGCTTCAACCTTCTACGTAATACTCAAATATGGAGATGACAACCCTAAAATATGGGGGGAAGGGGGGAAATAATAAATTTCTTTTGATATTTCTTCAGTAATCAATGTCAGGAGACATACAATTAGTGATTGTACACGGCCTGTATAGTTGGACCGCTTAATCCTTATTGATTCATCTCTCGAACTTAATAAGGGACGATTTGGGCCAATGACAAAATTAAGCTATAGATATCTGAGAGACAGAGAACCAGAGGGAGGCTTTGTACAAGAGCCGATTGCTTGCCTCTGTCTCATTCGTGTTTCTACCGTGAAGCATTTGTGTTTGCATGGCTATGTTTCGGTTTGAAGGGTGGGATATGACAGTGAATTTACAGGGTACAGAGGAATAACATCTGAGTCCTCAGGAATAGCAACGCATGGGGGGTATCATGGACGAAACAGTACACTCTGTTATGTGCGTGGTACTGCTCATGTCTATAGGCGACGGTTACCACTTTCCATCAGGTGGGCCGTCAGCTTGTTTGCCATTCTCAGTTGCATAAAAAAATACTGTATGGGCATAAGAAAAGAGTAAGCTCTCGTATTATCATCGTATCCACCATTATCTGTCCACTGTTGAACATTAATCTCCCCCATAATTAGGGGGATTAGATTAAGGGGGTTTTGCCAGTAGTTGCCACGCTTGGCAGGCGAGTAAACGACCGCAGTTAGACTTTGGTGATGTTTTGAGAGGGACGCTTTTGCCTATCCCTCGACTAGTAAGTTACCTGGGGGGGAAAGAGATTGTTAGTAATGAGGTCTAATAGCACCGTTACTAGCAATTAACACTCTCAGAGCGACCTCCACGCGGTTCTCCATGGAAACCTTTATGGTTAATTCTTGTCGAATTCATCATGGTGGGCCAACTGACCTGCATTCGTTCTCACCTATCATCTTCCACTGGTGCCTCGTCGGTGTATACCGATAGCGCGGGCGGGGTTACCATTGCATTTTCATCTATTAAAAAATAAGTAACTTACCTTAGTCGCCTTTTACGACACTCACGGGAAAACAAGGGGTGGTCCATTCTATGCCGGGACCATGCACAATAGTGACACATTCGTATGAATGCATATGTTGTGTAAGGGCGTTAAACTGTTGTCGTGTTATTTTAAGACATTATTTCAAGGGCTAAGTTTAAGATGTTTTTTTAGGGTGTTATATTAGGACGTTAAGGCTTTATTTATGTTGCAATATAATTTTGTATTTATCGTATTTAAATTTATTGTATGTGGCAACACAGATCTTTTGTTATTGACACTGACATGTCAGATATGTCAATCAGTCTCCGTATCGCTTTATGTTTAAAGTTTTTATTATATAGATAGAGCATCGAGTAAAAAAAACGTATCAAAATTTTGTCAGCTAATTTAAGTTCCCTCCCTTGGCAGGCGGATTAACAACCGGGTGCCGTAACTGGACATATGCCAATAAAGCATATACTACACAAGATGGGTCTATCTTCGGACACACTGTGCAGACTGTGCGGGGAGAAATCGGAATCCATGGAACACTTGATGTGCAACTGCGATTCGTTGGCAAGTATGCGTATGAGTCTACAGGGAACAGCTTACTCAGAGCCAGGGGACTACATATATCTTAAACTGCGGGATATCGTTTTTTTTAATGGGTGAAAATGGAATGGTAACCCCGCCTGCGCTAACGGGATACGCTGGCGGAGCACCAGTGAAGGGTGATAGATGAGAATGAAAACAGGCCAGTTAGCCCATCATGATGAATTTCATTCAGGAATTAATCATGATAGTTTCCAGGGGGAACCGCGAGGAGGTCGACCTGGTTGGGCATATTGCTAGCAATAGGATTCTCAGTCTCCATTAATAACAATCCCTTTCCCCCCCGCGGGATATCGTTAGGATAACACATAGCATCCATGTAATGATGATATAAGGCAGAGGGAAGCACAAAAGATCCGTATGGGTCGACGTGCATCGGCTTAGCTGACCCCATATGCGAAAAATAAGATAAGATAAGATAAACAACCGCAGTTAGGCTTTCGAGATGTTGTTAGAAGGACGCTATTGCCCATCCCTTTGCCATCCCTTAGTCGCCTCTTAAGACACCCACGGGAAAGGAAGGGGTGGCCTGTTCTATACTAGAACCACACAACTAATAAAGAATAAATAAATAAATTAATTGTAAAGCAAAATTTTCTTGAATACAAAATTCTATAAAAGATCAGTTTTTTTTTTATCTAATATACCGAACTCGTGACGGTAGGTTAAAAATATAAAATTATAATGTAAAAATTTGACGTTCTGAGAATCGGCCTAAAATGTCCTCAACATGAATAAATTTTTTTTATTTTTTTTGACAAAATTTTATATTTTTATTTGAATTTAGCGTTGAAAACCACACAACAAATAAAGCTTTTACGATAACCCCTGTTTTTTAATCGCGATTTTTATATTAATTGCAAGATGGCAATGGAATATAATAATTGTAGTACGATAAATTTTCATGTATAGTTCTCGAAATAATGTATATGGTAAAACAACGTTTGCCGAGTCAGCTAGGTTTTATGTAATAAACCGTTTTGAGGTTTGAAATTGAGGTATTTTTTTTTAAATATGGAATTGCATGCAAATTAAAAACTGTATCAAAATAACAGCATTTAGTTTTTATTGCTCTGAACATTCTCGAGAATCCAATCAACAAAATTTATCACGCTAGTATACGTAATATCTCTCTTTATACATATTCGCTTCGCCGCCGGGTCCCCGGTTCGAATACCGTGCAAGTACCATTTCTCGTCCGTATGTTTTGTCGCATGCAGACCTCCGTAACTGGGACATAGGGGTACGTCTGAAAAAATATAGGTTATTAGTAGTAAATCGTTTTTTTTTTTTCAAGTAATAATAATAAGCATTTTAGAATAATATTTTTTTTTAATCTACCGCCCAGTTTACCAGAGGGAGACTTTGTACAAAAGTCGATTGCTTGGGTACCTATGTCCCATTTGTGTTTCAACCGTGAAGCAGTTGTGTTTAATGGCGTTAATTTACACAGAGGAATAACACCTGACGATCAACGCATGACGGGTATCATGGGCGAAACAGTATACTCTGTTATGTCCATGGTACTGCTCATGTCTATAGACGACGGTTACCACTTTCCATCAGGTTGGCCGTCAGCTTATTTGCCATTCTAAGTTGTATAAAAAATAAAGTCCGAAATGCAATTTCAGCTGGGAAGAACGGACGAGAAACACAGCTGTTGTTTTTTTTTTTTTAATAAAAATTAAGTTTACAATAAAAAATATGATGATTAACATAAACTAAAAGATAGAAAATAAAAAATGTACAGTATTCTTAAACAGACCATGTTATATGGACGGATAAACTATCAACAACCATATTATAGGAAAGCCAAAGATCCGGCCCATCACGTCGCCACCAATTTGGATATTATAGTAAGCATGACCTATTTCAAGGTATGCGATTACGTCAAAATTCGTTTGCGTAACCGAGACAAAAGTAACCTCTGTTCTTCTCTATCCTAAATATTATTTATTTTATTTATTTATTTAAACTTTAATGCACAAAAATTCTATGTACATTTGCGGACTTAACACCGGATACCAGTCAACCATTAAAAACCGAGATTATTAATATGTAATACAACCAAACTAACTTTTTGCCCGCTACTTCATTCGCGCGGATTTCAGAAGTAGGAACATTAATGAAAAGAAAACCATTTGTACATGGCGTATCAAAATAAAACATAGACCATGTTGATATTATTTAAATTAATGTGCAAAAATTAATCTCTCATTTGACTAAAGACTGATATTGAATGACTCATGTATTTATCTTTCACTTTGCTACGTCACCGCCCCACTACTTTTCGAGCGATACTTCTAAGCGCTAGAGAGCAGACTTGCATTGACTTCCTAGTAGCACAGTAGAGAACACCAATATAAAATAATATTGGAGAGCTTGTTTTATTGATTCAAAGCCCAATTTCGCATACACCAGAATTTAAGTTAGACTATCAAGAATACATAAGTGAAAACTGAATTCAATTTGATGCAGTAAATTTTGCGTGCTATCGAAATAAACATACAGACAGATAAACAAACAAACAGACAGACAAAATTGCTTTATTAAACAATCCGCTTAGATCAATTATTTTTAATTACTTTCAATATACAGACTTCCTACACTTATAATTTTATTATATTCTTACTTCTTAAATTATATAGATCACGGGTTCCCAAACTTATTTTGTCTACTGCCCACTTTGAGAATAAATAATGTTTAGCGCCCCCATTCTTTCATCTACTTAAAAACCACTATTACTTCATGATATTTATTTTCTGGGTTTCTTACCGATCCCCTTTAGGTCTGCAGCGCCCACAAGGGGCGTTATCGCCCACTTTAGGAAAGGTTGATATAGATAGAGCATCGTACCTTAAAAACGGGTCAACTTTTTGTCAGCTAATTATTAAATTAGCTGACTCGTTTTTTTATTAGTGTTCATTTTTATTAGTTATTATTCATTGTTTATTAGTTTATTTGTAAGTATATATACTTACGCGTAAAATGTATCTTGACGTATCTATATTATATTATTATTTAATAATTGAAATTAGTTTTGTGCGTATTAAAAAGGTGCAGAATTTATAAGATAAAATAGAAGTTTTAAAGGAATCACTCATAACTATTTATCACACAAAATTGTACGAAAAAGTTGACCCGTTTTTCTCGAAGCATTTGTATAGAGACACTATCTGTATAATCTAAGTATATTTCATTTACTCTTCATACATCTCGTTTGTTCATTTTCATAGTTTGATATACAGAGCATCAATATAAAAAACTATATAAAACACTGTTTCGTTCTCGACTAATTTACCCACGTCACTAAAACAGCGTCTAACTGTACAGCGAGTAAATTATCCTTAGAAATAACTGGAACTCTCAAGAAAAGCACCTGTTATTTATCTCCGCCACAATCGGACAGAAGTAAACAAAAAGAAACTATGTATTTTATTTTACATCTTACCATCGCCGTAAGTAGAGCAAAACGTATTTTCCACTTTATTCTTCTGGTTACAAGCTCTACTTTTCTCTTTATCAAAATATATTGGCGTTAAATCCCCAGAAAGGCTCCATGCAGTAGTCTGAAATAAAAATATTTCTTTTGTTAGCGCCTAATGAAAAGGGCGTAGCAACAATTCGCAAGAAGAGAGAAATGATAGTGCGTATCTTTGCTATAGGCAATACGGTAGGCGCTAAATGAGTCTGGTGTAGATAGGTAAGTAAAAATGCTCATTAGACATTTTCAAACTTCAGATAACAGACATATTTGAATAGCACTTGGTTTGATTTAGTAAAATTATACAGAAAGTAAATTATTGAAAATGACCGTGTGGTCCCGGCATAGAATAGACCACCCCTTCCTTTCCCATGAGTGCCGTAAGAGGTGACTAAGAAACGGCAAGGGATGGGCAACAACGTCCCTCTTAAAGCATCTTTAAAACCTAACTGCGATTGTTAATCTGCCTGTCAAGCGTGGCAACTACTGGCAAAACCCCCCATGGGGGAGACTTATATTAAGCAGTGGACGGTTAAAGGCTAATATGATGATAATTAAAGTATTGAAAAAAGCTATTCAGGATGATCCATACAGACAGTAACAGGCTTTCAATGGATAAAAATGGAATAGTAATTCCAACGGCACTATCGGTATACGCTAGCAAAACAGCAGTGAAGGCGGATAGGTGAGAATGAAAGCAGATCAATGGGCCCAATGCATGCAGTGACGAATTCATCAAGATTGACCACGATGGTTTCCAGGGAGAACTGCTTGGACGTCGAATTGACAAGATATATTACTAGTAATGGAGCTGCTAGTCCATTAGTCTCTTTTACAAACTCTTCTTCCTCCACCAGGTAATCTATTACCAATCCATCTTAACATTGACATTGACATAAAACATTTTTTTTTCAAAAAAAAGAAATAACAGTCTTAAATTACATATTAATGTATTAATTAAAGTGTCTTAAATATACTAACCGCAGCTTTCTGATAATCAATTATGATGTCTTGTTCTCCAAACATGCAAGCCGCCCCCACGTCCTTGTTCAAATCAGCCGATTCTTCCAATACAAGCATTGCCAAGTCATTTACAGCGACGCCATCTTTAACTGTATAATTTTCGTGTACATTTACAGATTTTACCTGCAAAAAGAAAGGTTTTAAAAGCATCTATTTAATTTACTTTCCTGTCTGAAAGCAAAAGTGTGTTTGACAGTTTTTAAATTTGCATGGAATTGAACCATATGCTATCCCACTATATTGGGTTGACGGGAAGAGATCTCTTTCTGAGATAAGTTCAACCTTGCTCACAATATTTATAAATATATATATATATGTAATTTACATAACATACATGTATATGTAAATTACATACAATTTAATTTACATGTAATACACCTGATGGAAAGTGGTAACCGTCGCCTATAGACATAAGTAGTACTATGGACATAACAGAGTATACAATTATGCCCATGATACCCCCATGCGTTGCCATTCCTAAAAACTCAGGTGTTATTCCCATGTACCCTGTAAATTCACTGCCATATCTCACCCATTAAACCGAAACACAGCCATGCAAACTCAACTGCTTCACGGTAGAAACACGAATGGGACAGAGGTGCTCAAGCAAACGATTTTTGTACAAAGTCTTCCTCTGTTCAATATATGTGCAATTCTGTTCATGTCTTATTAAAGTCTCTTATATGTATATTCTTTATTGCACTTGTAAATTACATTGTTAATGCATTTATAAATATTGTGAGCAAGGCTGGACTTATCTCTGACAGAGATCTCTTCCAGTCAACCCAATGCAGTTAGAAAGCATGTTGTTAGCGGGCAGCTGAAATGCTACAACTATTAATATTTAGAGTACATAAACAAATATACAGTTAAATAAAATATTAAGATACATAATAAAATATTACATAAATACATATACTATAAATAAATATAATACCTCCCTACTTATACAATAGATGTTAAAATAAATGAATATACTCTCTACAATAGAAATTTAGTTGAATGATTTTAAGGTTTGACAGTTCAATTATAAAAATGAAAAATTAAGTTTATGACTCAAAGGAAAGAAAATGTAACTTCAACCTTTTCTTGAAAGAGGTAATTGAAGGGCTTATAGAATTAACAGCCCCTATCTAATAATTTTTGCAAATTCTCTCTTTAATACGCAGTACAAATAAATACCTGTTAATTAATATCGAAGAAATAAATGGCTAAGCAATTTCATACTAACCCTGTGAACTTGTTCATTCTCGCTCGTCGAATGTAAAGATTTCTTTCCAAGAATAACTATTAGGTCTTCCGGATCAACGGTAGAATTAGTAGTTACACAGCGGCCCGCTGCAAATGAAAAGATTTTTACTTCAGTGTTTTAGCTTTGTACGTACTATTCTTATTAATCAGCTTCAGGAAAGCGCTTAACTCGCTTTAGTATTCATAACGAAGATCTCTTTAGATCAAATACCTACCTGCATATTTCCATTTGCAATAATTTCTTGTTAATTTATTTTCGGTGCATTACGGACCCAGCGGGTGAATTAGAGAAGAGCATTAATGAAGTAGTAAAACATGCCTATATACTTGGTATATACATAACAAGAATTTTATACATTTTTTTTTATGTAACTTAGAATGGTAAACAAGCTGACGGCCCACCTGATGCAAAGTGGTAAACGTCGCCTTTAGACATGAGCAGTACCATGCACATAACAGAGTATACTGTTTCGTCGAACACTCAGGTTATGGAATGAGCTCCCTGCCGAGGTTTTCCCAAGAGACTACAGCATGGTGTTCTTCAAAAGGGGGGTAAAGAGGTTTCTTCAGGGTCGGCAACGCGCGTGTAATACCCCTGGTATTGCAGGCGTTTATAGGCTACGGTATCCGCTTACCATCAGGTGGGCAGTATGTTTGATTGCCATTTCAGTGGAATAACAACAAATATTTGCAGCGTTTCTGCCATATTTCTTGTATTATTATTTTTTTTCACTCGCAAATAGGTCATAAAGATATTGTCAATCCAGTCGGCGCCAAATAAAGTGTGACTTTCTTATCTATATAAAATTATGCTTTATATTATAACATGGGATTTGATAAAATCTCTCGCGAGAGAATGACAGAAATAAATGAAGCACAGGCAAATCTGATTACCCGTGTACGTACCGAGAAAGAATTCCTGAAGCTCGTAACGAAATTTCGTTTTTGATGTTACAAAATATATTCCTGCATGTTTCAGGTAGACGACCCAGACGTGGGCAAACTGTCTGTCCATTTCTTAATAATACGAGATTACGTCTTATTTTAAATTTAGAACCGTTTCATTTAAACATACATTATGTATGACAAAACAGCAAACTAACTAACTAAAATTAATCTAAGTCCGCTTCGGCTTCACACGGCTTTAGTTTTTCTAGTTGTGTTATATATTTCAATAGAACTAAAAATTGATTAACATTTCATTCATTCGCGTTAAATGATGTATTTGTTTATCATCATCATATCAACCGTTAATTGTCCACTGCTGGACATAGGCCTTAAGGGAGTTTAGCCAGTATTTGCCACGTTTGACAACCGAGGTTATGTTTCGATAACGTTTTAAGATGGACGCTGCTGCCCATCCCTCGAAAATTATGTTCTCGTAATCGCCTCTTACAACACCCGCACGACGGTCTATTCTATGCCGGGACCACACGGGGACCACGGGTCATATGGTTTATAAGACACAGGAATAAACACCATCATTTAGATAAACTATGATAATTAACCTGAGTTATCTTAACGCTCCCATCAAATTGTTTCATTAAAACAAACTTTAACAGGGTTTTTATTACTGACACTTACAAATTTATTAAAAGGTAAAACCAATATATAAGCTCAGGAAGCAGAACCATCAGTTCCCAATGACTTTGACCATAAACCCGCGTTGTTGTTTAGACCAATTACACCCGTTAATTACTACCAACTTATAAATTTGCCGAACCAGGGGTCCAACTTTGTTATTTGTTGCCAAAGTTCTAAACGACAAGCAGCTAATTCGTTTTCCAGTTGTCAGAACTCTTATTTACCGACCTGAATGGATCTGAAGCCAATTAAATTGGTTCCAACTATTTATTTTCACGTTCAAAGACCTTTAAGACTAATTAGTAGTGGAGCGGCACCTTTAATAGACTCTTCACTTGTTAGTCGTGGCCCAGAAAATAGGAAAAGCGTTTCAGACCCATTTAAATGAGACGTGAAAGGAAATTGCACTAAAAACAACAAGATTTTTAAAGTTCTACATCAATGTACATATACAGGGTGGAAGGGGCAGGTTGGCCAAAACGAAAACAGCTGATTCAGATCAATGGTCTGAATCAGATGGTAGATTAATTTCCCACCGAAAAAGCACCATAGCCATATAATGAACGATTCTTGGTTTTGACGCCGCGCAATGTATTTAAAAGTTTACGATTCACACGACGAGTGTGACGAGTACCTACAACGCACGGTTCTTCGTAGGTAGTTTTCGTACGCTTGTGACGTTGACCTTAGGGCGGTTAATTTAATTTTAATACGAACAATACATTGCTGTTTTTTGGTATTTCATAATTGTTACTTAGTATACATTGACGCTTATCTGTGAGAGTTGTATACACCTTTAATTGATGTGTTCATATGGCCTTAAGCTTGGTAATGAGGAGTGAGATGTTTTTGTTCAAGTAAACTTAGATTTAAGCATTTTTTAATAGTAATTTTTCACTTTTTACTTACTTATATCATTGTACATTGTCTGCTTAATTGATGGGAGCATATTGTTGGTGTGTCTTTTATAAATAAATAAATAAATTTTAAATAAAACAAACATTTGAAAATTTTTTAATTTTCCGGAAAGAATTTCCACTGGTTTTCATTTCAGAAAAATGGTCTGAATTTACTGTTTCAGTTCTTACCAACCTGTCCTTAAAGGACAGGTTGGTAAGAACTACTGTATATGTATACTGTATATGTACTGAACTACTGAACTGTATATGTACGTAAGTACGTAGGTAGGTTAGGTAGCAGATATGTAGGTACTATTTACCTGTAAAGGCTTTTACATCGCATTAAGTCCCGATTGTGTATTTAAAATACGTATGTGTAAACAACGCGAAAGATTAAAACTAACTATATATTAACAATTTTCAATATTTTTCACTGCATAATTACATTTCTGTTTTCCCAAATGTTGACTGAGAGATTATGCCATATTTATGCATTAAATCCGCCTTTTGTACCATACATTTTTTTATATATATTGTAATGTAGATATGTCCCAAAAGGATACATGAAACTTCAAAATAGGCCTAATAGTACAAATGGCGATTAATTATATAATTAAAAAGCATCATTCGCACATTTTAAAACCGATTTTAACTTTTCTTTATAATTAGTAATTCCCGCATATTTTACAAATCACTCATCCTCGAAGTTACTAATTTTTTTTATGCAACTTAGAATGGCAAACAAGCTGACGGCCCACCTGATAGACAGTGGTAACCGTCGCCTATAGACATGAGCAGTACCATGGACATGACAGAGTATACTGTTTCGCCCATGATACCCCCCATGCGTTGCCATTCCTAAGGACTCTGATGTTATTCCTCTATACTCTGTAAATTCACGCCATATCCCACCCTTCAAACCGAAACACAGCCGTGCAAACACAACTGCTTCACGGTAGAAACACGGATGGGACAGATGTGCCCAAGTAAACGATTATTGTACAAAGTCTCTCTCTGGTGTTTGTTTATTTGTATTACCTTATAGCGCTTTAACAGCTTGACCAGATACTATTAAATTTGGTATACACTTTATGGGACGGAATAGGTTATAGGTTACTTTTTATCCCGGCCAGTGAACATACTTCATCCTCACCTATCATCCTTCACTGGTGGACATCCTCACCTGTCATCCTTCACTGGTGGTTACCATTCCATATTCATCCATTAAAAAAAAATCAGCTATTTTTGTGTTCAGCAAAATGTAACATAACATTTATTGTCGGAATGACATTATGTACAATGCCTACGCTTCATATTGATGGGTCGAGCGTGCCTCGGATACGGCGAGACACATCTGTTAAAGAAAGTTGTATAGAATACAAAATCGCTGTGTATGTCCCGGCATAGAATGGGCCACCCCTTCCTTTCCCGTGGGTGTCGTAAGAGGTAAGAGGCGACTAAGGGAGGGCGAGGGATGAGCAGTACCGCCCCTCTCTAAAACATCTCTAAAAGTCTAAATGCGGTTGTCAACCCACCTGCCAAGCGTGGCAACTACTGGCAAAACCCACCAAGGGGGAGGCTTATGTTCAACAGTGGACAGTTAAAAGCTGATATGATGCTGACGATAATATAAAACAGAGTTCAAAGCAAACGAAGTCGCGGGCCTCAGCTAGTTCCCCATAAAACAAACTGTCCGCTTCATTTTCATCAATACGCTGTTAATTTGTTCATTCAATAAGCCTTATTTTTTATCGGCCAGACAGCAACAGATGGAAGGATGTCGCTCATAATTAAATTGGCCATTTTTCCCGAGGAGTTCAAGGAGGAGACGGGAAACGCACACAGTTTATTTGATTAGAGCGGACGTTTTATTACATTTTTTCTCGCAACTTCGTACGCAGGAATTATAGAATGAATAAATGAGTATACTTTATTTGCATTATACAATATAGGAAATAAGCAAAGCAATTAATAAATATTATTAATTATATATAATTAACAGAGAGAGACTTTGTACAAAAGTCGTTTGCTTGGATACCTCTGTACCATTCGTGTTTCAACCGTGAAGCAGTTGTGTTTGCATGGCTGCGTTTCGGTTTGAAGGGTGGGATATGGCGTGAATTTACAAGGTACAGAGGAATAACACCTGAGTCCTCAGGAATGGCAACGCATAGGGGTATCATGGGCGAAACAGTAAACTCTGTTATGTCCATGGTACTGCTCATGTCTATAGGCGACGGTTACCACTTTCCATCAAGTGAGCCGTCAGCTTGTTTGCCAATCTAAGTAGTATAAAATATATATATATATATATATATATATATATATATATATATATATATATATATATATATATATATATATATATATATAAATCTAACAAGTGCCAAGAACATACACAGAAATAAAAAAAAAATATTTTCTATTAGAACTACAGCAGGGGTTCCCAAACTTATTTTGTCTACTACCCACTTTGAGAATAATTTATTTTCTTAGCGCCCCCATTTTTTCACTTACTCAAAAACCACTATTACTTCAAGATCAACAAATCACCCCCCAAACCTCTACACAACGCCCCCAATTTTTTCTGGGTCTCTTACTGTCCTTTAGGCCTGCAGCGCCCACAGTGGGGCATTATCGCCCATTTTGGGAAAGGCTGCTCTACAGTTTCATCTCAGTGTAAAATTGCGTCACTTCACTTGAATGGCATTTTCTTTAAAAGAGGAAGTAACCAGCATTGTCCCTATTGCTTGCTTATTTATTGACTTTCTTATTTATTCTTTCTTAATTTGTCTCTTTATAATTATAATATACATAAGAGAATTTATTACTGTCAATGAGATTTTGTACAAAAAGCTAAGAACATACAGTGCGACTTCATTTGTCCGTCCGTCTGTCAAAATATTATATTTCAGCCTTAGTTTTCAGCATTACTATTATAAACTAATGCTGTCCTATCAGTTTGATATAGTTATTTTTTGGCATACTTTTACATACTATTTACTGATCTTATTACAAAAGAATCAACCGATGGTGAAGAAAGGTCCTTGAGTGGCGACCCCGTACAGACAAACGCAGTGAAGGACGACCCCCCCCCCCCTTTCCACAGGGATCGACGACCTCAAATGCATTGGAAAGGTTGATCAGGTCGACCTCTACGTGGTCCCCTTGGAAACCATCTTGCTAAATCTCAGGTATATTCACCACAATGGAAAAACTGACCTGCCTTTTCATCCTAACCTATCATCACTCACTGGCGTCCTACCAGCGTTTACCGTTAACGCAGGCGGGGATACCATTCTATTATCATCCATAAAAAACTGCTTCACGGTAGAAAAAAGTATATCTACTAAACACCATAGGTACAGACAGTATAATACCATACTATACCATAGAGTTGTTTATTAATGGATGAAAATAGTATGGTAATCTCATCTGCGTTATTGGTATACGCTGGCGGGGTACCAGTGAAGGATGATAGTTCAAGATGATACTAAGTTAGTTGGTCCATCGTGACTAGGATTTACAATCCCGAAGTATTTTCTTTCCAGCTGGATATTTACGGTAAATTTAGAATTACAGCGGTATGTCGATGTAATTTTCGCTAAAGATTTAATCCGTACCGTGTGGGAACATTGGAAACAAGAATGGGACAGAAGTACCAAAGCAGACGACATTTGTAAGTCTCCATCTAGTAAATACCTAATAGTAAATAATTTACAATATATATATATATATACTACATAACTTTAATATAAAGAGTTCATTTCATTTTAAAGCCACAACAGCTAAAATAATATATCGCTACAGCGCTGTAATAACAGGCGTTCAGGTGAAAACACAATCTCATCGTATCCCGCTGAAAGCGCTTGATTATATTAATTTTCGAATTAAAATCGTTTGCAAACCAAAATTGTTTATTTATTTGTTCTGGAAGGTGGTGGCTGTTTATTTTAAGGAATCCATTATGTTATAACAACACGGTTATAAAGAAAGGTTATTGGTAATAAATTAATATATTTTACCAAATACAATAATAAATAATTATAAACAAATTATTTTGCCCGCAAAAGAGATGTATACAAGGAGTATTTATACAGAATGTGCATATACAAAAGGCGGCCTTATCGCTACAAGCAATCTCTTACTGGCAACCTGACGTAAATAGTAGATTTTTTTTAATGGGTGATAATGAAATGGTAACCCCACCCGCGCTATCAGTTTACACCGGCGAGGCACCAGTGAAGGATGATAGGTGAGGATGAAGCAGGTCAGTTAGCCCATCAAGGATTGTTCACGATGGTTTCCAGGGGGAACCACGTGGAGGGCGACCTAATAGGTCATATTGCTAGCAATGGGGTTGTCAAACTTCATTACTGACAAACCCTTTCCCTCCTGTAGATGAATATTGTACACCGCTCTACCCGCTGATATTGATGCTCCTTCCTACTTTGAGTGTTGCTGGAAGAGAACTCTTTCAGAGTTTTTTTTTTTGGTGGGTGAAAATGGTATGGTAACCCCGCCTGCGCTAACGGGATACGCTGGCGGAGCACCAGTGAAGGATGGTAGATGAGAATGAAAACAGGCCAGTTAGCCCATCATGATGAAATCATCAGGAATTAATAAGAAAAATAATAGATTCTGCCCGCATTGTACGCCGGTTTCTCTCCCTGGGGCCCTGAACCCCGGCCGACTGTGCTTCTGCAGGGGGTTAGTTGCCATCTCCTCTCCTTAAGAGGGGAGATGAGAATTTTTGTGAAATTTAAAATAATAATAATAACTTTATTGCATAACCACGATTGTAACAAACTCAGCATTGGAGATTACAGTAAAAGTAGATACGAATTCATTTGTACATTTGGATCAGATTAAACATCTGTCACTGCACTTGGTTATAAAGCCTGTATCTCAGACAACAGCGCTCCACCCACATTACATAGTATAATAATAGTTCAGCTAAATTAACCATGATAGTTTCCAGGGAGAACCGCGAGGAGGTCGACCTGGTTGGGTATATTGCTAGCAATGGGATTCTCAGTCTCCATTACTAACAATCCCTTTCCCCCCACTCTTTTAAAGTTAAGCTCGCCTTTGTACATTTACTTACCTCTGTCATATTTTATGTATTATCAAGGTGTATAATAAGGTATAAATAAATAAATACAGAGGGAAAGGTAAAAATAACAAGAGAAGTATAATAGTTTAAAAGATACGTGCACGTTTAAAAATTATTTACAGATGATAATGGAATGGTAACCCCGTCTACACTATCAGTATACACTGGCGGGGCACCAGTGAAGCATGATACGTGTGGATCAAAGCAACTCATTTCACCCATCATGACGAATTCATGAAGTATTAACCAAAAGTGGTTTCCAGGAGGACTTCTTAAAATTCCTTGGCACTCCATTCCTCTTTCTGTCTATCCTGTATAAGGGGGACTTTGTACAAAAGTCGATTGCTTGGGTACCTCTGTCCCACTCGTGTTTCAACCGTGAAGCAGTTGTGTTTGCATGGCTGTGTTTCAGTTTGAAGGGTGGGATATGGCGTGAATTTACAAGGTACAGAGGAATAACACCTGAGTCTTCAGGAATGGCAACGCATGGGGGGTATCATGGGTGAAACAGTATACTCTGTTATGTCCATGGTACTGCTCATGTCTATAGGCGACGGTTACCACTTTCCATCAGGTGGGCCGTCAGCTTGTTTGCCATTCTAAGTTGTATAAAAAAAAAATAAGAGAAGTTAGCGTAAAGATATACGTACCTGTGAGTATCACTCTCTCAGACAGCAACGCTCCGTCACAGTAGTATTCAAACTGATTATCAATTGTGGTGTTTTTAACGAAAATAGCAGCGATCCATGGGAACACGCCTTGCGTTATGTTTCCATGGCAAATTGGGTGGACCTGAAATAATAAAGATAAAGATATATTTATTTAACAAAGTATGTTTGTATTGGCACAGATTTTATCATTGCCTCCTACACTAGGCTGAGCCTGTCCTGCAGGAAGCAGTACTCGCGTTATCAGATACATGCATACAGATATTAACATAGGCTTTTTAGCAGTACTCACAATTGTGTAACTAATCTGTATAATGCAATTATTTCATTTAGATCCCACCATGTATGAATAAGTTTTTTTTTTTTTGATGGGTGAAAATGGTATGGTAACCAATACACATGTATGAATGAAAACAGGCCAATTAGCCCATCATGATGAATCATCAGGAATTAACCATGATAGTTTATGTGTGTGCATACTTGTGTGTATATGGTGTGTGTGTGTAATAAATAAATAAGTATGAATAAATACCGTGTGTGTTGTAAGAAGCGACTAAAGGAGGACGAGAGATGAGCAACAGCGTCCCTTTTAAAACATCTCCAACTGCCAATTGACCTGCCATGCGTGGCAACTACTAGCGAAATCCCTTAAGGGGACCTATGTTCAGCAGTGGACAGTTAAAGGCTAATATGATGATGAGGATGATGATGATGATGAAATACTACATAAATATTTTTATTTATATAAATTAAACCATAGGTTTATCTATAGTGGGTGATAACGTCCCTTTGTAAGCATTTGAATCTCTCAGCGGGGTTGAAGAACCAGAGAAAATTAGAAATGAGAGAAAGAAAGAGAGATTATACTGATGTTATACTGTATTCGCGACAAATGATAAGTAAAATTAAAGTGAGGGACTCTAAAAAAGAACATGCAAACTGGGTTGGTGGTAAAAAAGGTTGGAAAAATTTGCATTGAACATTTCAACGGTAAGAGAATTAGTGAACGTACCCCCTTTGGCACCCTATCGAAGACGTTTTTCTATTCTGAATTTATTTAAAAATAAAAATTTGTTAACAATATATAAAATATTCTAAACGTACGACTCACTCCGGCTTTAGCTGTTTTTTTTTTTTTTTTTTTTTAATAAAAAACAGCTGATAACGTAGCTTTTTATAGGTTAAAAATTAAAATCGAATAAATATTTTTGAGTTTATACATTGCAAGTGAACAATCAAATTTTAATTCAAAATTTATATTATAAATATTTACTGAAACATGGAAGTAATAACGTAAGTAAAGACTCTACCTGATTCTATTAAAATTTTGTTAATATAATGTTCAAATCCAATACAATTGGCGACTATTTATCGCCACCCCACAAAATTCCAAGATGGCGGGCAGAGCGATTTCATTTTTTTTTTTAATTTTAAACCTCTTTCAGCACACTCCCCGTAAATTATGAGAGAATTCCTTTATAATAGGCTTTTTTTTTTATTCGTAAGGGCAAGTTTACAATGGACGAGTAATGAGATAAAATTTACCGTGCGCGCATTCTGACCGGCTGGCTTGGACGGTAGCTTTCACACCAGTAATTTTAAAAACATTTAAAAAATATGTATAGAATTTCCTTCTTTACTCTACCTGAGTGCTAAAAAAGAGGCTATTCCGTCATCTTTAACAGCCGTGTAAGATAAATAGATAGATAGATACTCTTTATTGTTTCTTCTATAAAATTACAATAGTAAACTTATTATAAATACAAACAATTACAAGAATTAATCACAGTGAGAAAACAATGAGCGGCCTTATCGCTAAGAGCGATCTCTTACAGGCAACCTTTGGATGGAGAGGAGTAATTATAAACAGTTTGACTGAAGGCACGAAACTCTGTTCGTTTTTTAAATATATATGGAGATACGAAAGCGTACAATTGTGTGAATATATAAATGTATATTTTAAGTTATTAATACATACTTAAGTAAATCCATATGTACATACAAATACATAAATACATATATAAAATGAAATGAAATGAAATATACATATATATGTATGTACAGAACCGCTAACGGTATACACTGGCTGAACACCAGTGATGGATGATAGATGGGAATGAAAAGGCAGGCCAGTTAGCCCATCGTAACGATAACACCTGAAATCCAGCACGATGGTTTCCAGGGGGGACCACGTGGATGTCGACTGGTGGTCCGTATTACTAACAATCCCTTCCCCCCCTGAGAATGTAGTCAAGTCAGTAAATCCATCGTAACAAATTCACCAGGTTCCTAGAAAATAACATTTAAAGGTGAACTAGACAAAATACGAGGTTTGTCCGGAAAGTACGTATAAAAGTTTTTTAAAAATTTTATTTTACAATTATTCAGGTAAATCAATTTTATCCCCTTCAAAGTACTCCCCCTGTGACATAATGCACTTGTGCCAACGCCGTTTCCACTGTGAGAAGGCTCCTTGAAAGTCCTCTGGTTGTAGGTTTCTCAGCTGCCCCGTCGTAGCTTTTTTTATCTCATTTATGTCCCCCAAATGCCGCCCCCAGTACCAATTTGGTTTTTGGGAACAAGAAGAAGTCACACGGGGCCAAATCCGGCGAATAGGGGGGTGTTCGGTCACCGTAATGGAATTTTTACTCAAAAACTCACGGACAACAAGAGAGGTGTGGGCAGGGGCATTGTCGTGGTGAAGAATCCAACGCCCCTCTCGCGCCAATTCTGGACGAACTCGTGCCACACGAGCTTTGAGGCGTCTGAGCACATCGACGTAGAATTTTCCATCAACTGTCTGGCCTGGAGGGACGAATTCTTGATGGACAATCCCCCGAACATCGAACTCTTTCTCGGCCCTCTCTGAATCTTTTTAGCCACTTGTGGACGGTTGGTTCCTTCACAGCATCATCCCCATAAACTGTTCTGAGATCGGCAAAAATTTCCATTCTTGCCGAGTTTCGAGAGAAACTTGATTACGACGCGCTGCTCTTCAACGGAAGCGGGCTCCATGCCGACGGGGTTTCGTTCAGAGGTAACTTCACAGATGGCGTGACAAGCCAGTTCGCACCGCACGGCGGTCAGACCAGAACTGAAGCATTGTTAGGGACATAAGGAAGGGGTCCTGCGACCTGGCCTCCCCACTCCTCTTTCTCGCATTCCAGAACACTTTTATACGAACTTTCCGGACAATATATACAGCAAACATAACTGGGACATAAGTACCCGAGCAATTGTTTATTATTTGTACAAAACAAACATAATCACTCTCGGACGCGTGAGCAAAACACAACTGAGGTTTTTTCCCCCGTCTTTAATTACCCAACCTTGGGCGTTCGTGTGGAGAACATTACTATAGACGCCGAGCTAATAATTATGTGCTTTATATAAATAGATGTAACTTTGTTACAATGATAATACAATTAATGGGCTTCGTTATAAATTAGTTGGAACTAAACGACAGATAAATTGATGTTTATTATTTTATCACGCCATACAAGGATAACGGAAAACAAATAGGTAACAAAACTTGCAACCTATATACATATACATGTGTTAGTTATTTTAAATTATATCAATTTTCTCAAACATTTTGTGTCAAAATGTGTACCTACATTTATTAATAAAAATCAGACTAACTACTTTAAATATAATAAAATATTAAAATTGTTATTATACCAAATATTTGTAATGAATTATTCTTGTAATGTATATAAAACACTAATTTATATTTTAATTTATTTTATAATCATTTATTATCATGATACTTAAATAAAAAGTAATGAAATTGTAAGAACACGTGGTCTCGCTGACTTGTTCACTCGAATTCGGCCCTGTAGATATAAAAGATTGTTATTTGAGTGGGGAGACACTTCTTGTCCAACCGTTGAACAGAGCGGAGCTCTCTGTCGTATCAAGAGTGAACAAGTATAGTGAACCACGTGGTCATTATATAAAATATATCACAATTATTGTTGATGGAATTCCTAAAGAAACTATAGTTAAATAAGTGTTAATGGATTAACAGAAGTTGAGTATTTATGTTATATTATTTGTTATATGTCAAATACAGAGTAAAATAAGTAAATATTTGATTTAATAGTTTGATATCTAAAATAAATGAACTTTGAAAACTTGTGCTTCATTTCTATTTATTACCAAGAGGTTTACAACCTATATATTGCTAAAGAATATATTATATACCATGTAAATTACTATATAAATCTATTACCCTACAGTTATTTAATTTGAGGCATGTATGTTCTCCTTTAACCAAAGGTTATCTCTAATAGATAACTTTAACTCATCATATATATATATATATATATATATATATATATATATATATATATATATATATAGTATAATAAGTTTACTATTGTAATCTTTTGGAGGAAACAATAAAGAGTATCTATCTATCTATCTATCACTAAAGCCTAACTGCGGTTGCCAACCCGCCTACCAAGCGTGACAACTACTGGCAAAACTCCTCTTATGGGGAAGGCTTATGTCCAGCAGTGGACAGTTAACGGCTGAAATAATAATAATACGGTTTAAAAACAAGCATATACACGCATACTCGTTTTCAATAACATTTACTAAAGTAATCCTTGTAATAAATATCGTAGTACAAATATTTTTTCGTAGATCTGCGTGAGACCTGGCCGAGTGCATTGTGGGCGGGTGATTGATGGCAGCGCATAGCGTGATAATCGCTATCAACCGGCTCCCCGCCGCCGCCGCCGTCGCCGCCGCCGGTACGAACGCGAAACTAATCGGAATAACCGGGAAAAAATACCGGATGAATCTTTATTCGTCCGGTATTTTTTCCGGTTATTCATCTCTTTAGATAAATGAGGAAAGTAACTAATGTCTAAATGTTGGGAGGAAGGTATTGTTGTAATGAGAAGGTCAGTCCCTGTTGCTAGAAATATACCCTATCAGGTCGATTTCCACGCGGTTACTCCTGGAAACTATCGTGACAAATTTATCGTTGAATTCTTCACGATGGGCTAACCGACGTGTCTTTTCATCCTCAACGGCATACACTGGCGAGGCACCAGTGAGGCATGATAGGTGAGGATGAAACAGTTCAGTGAGCTCATCGTGACGAATTCAACA